AAATCCACTTCCCAAATATTCAATTGATGAATAAATGGAAAGTGGGGGGACTATCTATATTGGGAAAAATTGCATTTATATATGTAAGTGACATGTTGAGATACGTGGACTGGTCAAATAGTCAAAGAATTATAATTAGTCAAGAGGCACGGGAAGCAATAGAAACGAGTAAAGGCAAAGGAAGAGACACGGGAGGACATTCGAAGGATTCAGCGCCCGTACCTATTTAAGTCATTTATCAAAAGGAATGGATCTGACCATAATACAGAGCGCATATACGGAATTTGACAGGCATTAAATACTGGATACGTTATAGAATTTGTATTGATTATAATGATTGTGTAACGTAACATTCAATGTCTTTAATTATTCATAATAGTCACATTATGATTTGGGAAAAACGCATATCTTCAAGATACCTATAAAAGGGAGGTATCTGATCACTTGTAAACACGAGATACTATTGGAATATACTTTGATTCACTTGTTTTTCTCCTGATTATACTCTGGTTACCCCAAGTTACTTTCTTTTACGTATTCTTTTGATTATCAGTAACCCGCTTCTAAATTCTTGCTTTGACTAAAATTCTATTTTTTGGTTAAACATGTACGAATTGTAAATATTGCTACTTGATAAATAAAATACTTTAATTACCAAAAAAAGAAATCGTTTCATTTCTTACGTAAGGCTGTGCGTGGCTTCTTAAGATATGTGAGAACAGTGTGGTATCTTGTACACGTTCCACCAATTAATTGAGAGAATCTGATGAAATAGGATAAATTAAAACGGTATTTCGTAAATACGTACTATAATCATTTTGAGTAATCTAAAGTATTGGCATCAGAATCTTAAAATCATGAATGTCAGAATTAGAAGGAGTTAAAAGATTTTTCTTTGCCCCTTATCAACTACCTTACTTCCTTGAAACTCTTTGTTAACATTACTCTCATTTATCCTTAACGAGTTAATGAGGTGCTCCTTTTAAGAATTATATGTCATATTACATATGCTAAGGCCGACTGATACTTATAATGTCATTTATATGTATACGTTCCAAGGGATGTTAACTGTCAACTGATATTTCTTTGCCGAAAAATACATTATTTAAATAATAGAAGAAAAAAATTATTTATATATACTATATGTATTTAATTCCCTCAACATATTCATGATTATTTAATTAAAATTTTAACTCCCCTTCATGAAAATTCTAAATTCATTATATATATAGAAAAAACAACCTTTTCTTCCATAAAATTAGAATTTGTAGTCTAACAGATGCGATTATCTAAGGCAAAAGGAAGTATTTGTATTACATTGTTCAATCATCAAATGTCATTATGTAAAACAGAATAAAGAAGGAATACCATTTACGACATCATTAACCAGAGATACTTCAATTAAGGGAAAAACAGTGAGTCCAAAATTTCCCACAACATTTTTAGGACGAGCGCTAAACCTTAAGTCAAAACTTCTTCCATCCCCCACAGGTGTGCCAATGCATGTTACATGCAGAAAAAACCCAAATCTCCCTACACACGTCAAATTTTCTCCATCCTTTTCTCCTTTATCCACCCCTCCTATTTTCCTCTCAAATTAAACCAGCTCTCCACTATTCTCCAAAGTAGACCCATTCTTCTCCTCCTCCTCCTCCGCCGTGAACAATGGCTGCTCGACCACCGAACTACTTCAATCATAATTCTCAAAGACCACCACTAAGACCCATTCACACCACCACCCACCAATTCCTTCGCAAACTGCAACAACATGTTCCAAATTCAACCCAACTCATGGGTTTCTTGACTCTTGTTATCTCCGGCGGTATTCTACTCCTCCTCACTGGCCTCACTCTCACTGCCATAATTCTTGGCCTCATTTTCTTCACGCCTTTGATCCTCGTTTCTAGTCCCATTTGGGTCCCTACTGGGACTCTTCTCTTCATCGCCGTTTCTGGATTTTTATCCGTCTGTGGATTTGGGGCGTCAACATTTGCTGCTATTTCTTGGGCCTACAGGTACTTCAAGAGAAGCAGGATTGCTGATACTGCTACCCATATGAAGGATTAGTACCTGAGTTTGTCGCAGTCACCTGCTGTTTAATTTTAGTGTCATTGTTCTTTTTCGTCGATCAAACTTTTGTAACATTCTCATTTTCGTGTTTTTGAATTTTTGGTTCGGTTTGAATTGGTTTTTATCAAAAAACAAATCAAACCAATTTAGTTGGTTTTTTATCGATCGATTAAGTTTATGTTTGATTTTTTCGATTTTTTCCAAGACATATATTACCAAACACATATTCGGGCTATTATATATTCAACTTAATATTATTAAACCAATTGCTTTTCGAAAAATTTATCATTTATCAAAATATATTAATTATAATTGAATCAAATAGTGATGAATAATTTAAGGATTCAATTAAAAATAGATTTTTTTTAACATGAAATAAATTTATGTACTTAGCAAAAGAAAACTATCTATTAAATTAGAATATAAAAAGAACTAAATTATTATAATAGCAAAGAACTATATTAAAAATGCATATGTTTAACATGTATTATAAAATTTTAGAAACTTTATATAAAAATGTAGATATACTTCTGTAGTTAGTTTGGTTCGATTTTTCTGGTTATTTAATCAAAATTAAACAAAATTTAATCGGTTTTTAAATTCAAAATTAAAACTAAACCAAATCAAATACGATTCGATTTTGGATGGTTTGATTTTTCGAATTTTTATGAATACCCTATCCATAAGGGTGCCAATATGTTATCTTTTATACTCTTTGATTGATTACAGTTTTGTGGAATCTTGAGTAGGTAAATTGAATAAGTTGGGATATATATGAGAAAAGATAATGATGGAATTCTATTCAAATAATTTCATAGAATATATTCACAATACTAGTTACGATAAGCCCGGGCACAATTATAGTTAAAAGTAAAAAATTTATGTGGCGTCCATTTTTGCTTCATCGGTTGAATTTATGGTCACTTTTTTAAAAAAGTTTAACTGATACGCATTGTTTAGATAATTTCAGATGTATACACTTTTCTCTTTTTCTTTACTGCTATTTTCTTCTTCTTTGTGCTTAGAGTTTTTTCTTCTTCTTAGTTGCAAAAGAGTTTTTAAAATTTGTTGTCTTTTCGATAATTTGATGATTAGGATTTGTTCTTTATGATATTTGAAAGTTATGTTTCAAATTTGGGCTCATTTGGAGTAGATTTGGGTATTGAATCATGTATAGAGTTGTTGAAAATCAAAGAACAAATTTATATTTTAGAACTTAAGATTCGAAATCTGAAGTTGCATTCAATTGATTGAACTACTGAAGATTCGAATTTCTGAAGTTGCATTTGAACGATAAAAGAACTTCATATTTGATTTCTAAATTTGCATTGAAGAGATTAAACTACTTCAGATTCGAAGTTCTGAAATTGCATTCGAAAGATAGAAGAACTTCATATTTGATTTCTGAAGTTGCATTAAAGAGATTGAACTAATTTCGATTCGAGCGGATATACTTTACAAAATTTTGTGCATTGCGGGTATAACTTCAGTGGTGATCCCAAAAGTAAGTATATATGAAAATGCCCCTAATCAAACTCCTCATGTATAACTGAATTTTACATATATTATATATCTATTAACTAAATATATAGTTGGGCGGGTGACTATTTGAATTAATTCTTTTAAATATCTTAGATACTCATTATATTCAAGCAAAACTAAAAGAATTTGCTTCTTGCCCTTTTTTTTTTAGACAAAAGCTAAATTTTCTTAAGATTTTAGTTGACTCAAACTTCAAATAATATTTATTTATATTTTCAAATGTTGCATATATGAAATTCCTATCAATTAATGATCCTTCTCTATGCACAACTTTACGAATGAAAGCTCTCAATGTTATAATTAAATCTTATCATAAACTCATAAATGTTGCAAATATGTAGCTTGTATTTTTCCTCGTTTTATTGGCTTAAATACGGGTTAGAAGGTAAAATAATATTTGCCTAATACATACTTTGCCCTCATAACTTATATGCAAATTCCTCTGACACACTGCAATTTTACATGTAATATTTTTACCAATCCCTTTATATGCATTACTGTTTTATATGCTTTACCTAATTTTTTATTTGGAGAATCTATATGCTTTGCCAAATTACTTTGCGCAAAATTTCACTTATTTGATTTAAGAAAAGGGCGATCTCTGCTTATTTTCCTCCATCTTATAATTTTTCACGTTAATTTAATTGAAGCAAAGCTAGTCTAAATTACGCATATTTCATATGTGTCCCGCTTGAGTATTTAAAGTTCATACCCACGTGCTGCTATCTATAACATCTGCTCATCATTTCATAACCACAGGCCTTTTGAATGGAACAATTAATTAGACGACATTAGGCTAGATGATTATATATTTATAATTTTGTTTCTCATGCTTAGATAATTCAATGAATATAATATATTATATTAGTTATAATTAAGTGATGATTATGTATTCAAATATATGTATTATAGTAACAAATAAATAAAGAGCTCATAATAGATAAAAACTTTAAAGATAAATAATTTTTTTCCAATATTCTAATACTAAAGAAAGATAATTATTAGATTAAGAGAAAATAAGGAAATCCCAATGGCAAAAATTTCCTCGACAAAAAGGAAAAAAAATATGTTATGAATGGTTGAAAAATGAAGAGGAAAATGGTTTGTGTGAGGCCGAGACGTGATGGCCACGTGAGGGAGTACAATGTCAGCCACATAAATGTTGTATGAAAACATGTGTAGAGTGACATAAGTGAAGGATAGTTAAGCCAAAGATATTCAAAAATGTATATTGTAGCTATAGTAGGATTCCATCATGACCAATCATGCTCCTTCATTTAAACGAAATGACTAAATTACCCCCGATATCCCAAGCAGGCATGTTGACATGGTGCTTGCTTATTCCCTCTTCTATATAGTAGTAAAGTAGTATGGGAAGATGAACGATAAGGAGAAATGTTGGATCACTTCTCGGTTATAACCAACTAAATTATGAACTAGACAATGTTTTTACGCGTGCTGAGAGCTTTTATATAAAAAATTAACACACTCAAATAGACGATTAACTTTATACATGGCTTTTTATTTTCTCCATGGTTAACCTAATTAAGCGAAATTGAAGAAGGAAATCTTTACCAGTTGTCCATGATAAAAATTAGGGGTGTTAAATGGGTGGGTTGGGCTAATTTTGAACGGGTCAAAATAAGTTGAGTCAATTATAGGGAAAAATTCAAAAATAGCCAGATTTACAACTGGTCGTTCAAAAATAGCCCAGTTTCAAAAGTAATCGAAATTTAGCTATTTTTTTGTAAAGATAAATCTGAGCGAAAACACTGTTAAAAACCCAAAAAATACGCCAGTATATTATGTTGGAGTTCCAGCATAAGTACACTAGAACTCCAACATGATATACTAGAGTTCCTGCAAGTATACCGGTCCAACATAATATACTGGAGTTTGGAGCACCGGTGCTCCAGTCTCCAGTATATTATACTGGAGCCAACAAAGTATACCGGTCCAGCATAATATGCTGGAGTTCATACACAGGTGCACCGAACTCCAGTATATTATGCTATATCGGTCTCTGTTGCAGCAAAATAGTGGCTATTTTTTATTGACTTGGTAAATGCTGACTATTTTTGAATGACTAGTCCGAAAACTAGCTATACCGTTATATTATTACTCAATAAATAGGTGGGTTCTTGATCCGCCCAAAAGTTACTTGGGCTGAGATGGACTGGGTCAAGATGAGCTACAATTTGGGTCATAGCCCAATCCACCCAACTCTTACCAAGCTTTAATTAATACTCCATGTGCTATTTTTGTACGAATATGTATAATTATTAATAATATTTTTTTTTCTTTTACTATGGTCATATATAACATATCGAACAAAAAAAAATTATTTTTAATATATTTGGGCAAATTACTCATGGATCAATTTGAGCTAAAAACCAGCTCAATTTTAAATGAGTTGAGATGAGTTAGGTCAAGATGGGTATTTTAAATGGGTTGAGATGAGTTAGGTCAAGATGGGTTGAGTGAGTAGTTCAATAACCAGCCCAACTTTGGACGGATTATTTGGGCTTGGGCCAAATTTGACTATCCTAATTAATATAATTGGGGAAAATTTCCTTACACAAGTACTATTTTTAAGGGATTGTTTTGTACTTATACACTATTTGAAACTTTATTATAAAAAATATTAAAGTTTTTGTATTTACCCGACATAAACAAGTTTTAGATACAAAAAATATACATTTCACTTTAAAAGGCTCACAATCCATTACTAGTGCCTTTAAATAAGGAGTTTAGTTATACCGTTTTCCTTTTCTCTCCTCTCTCCTCTCCAAATCGAACTTATAATTAGCGATTCCTATTTGATAATTGTTTCGGTCTTGGTTTTATGTTTTGGCAGTATTTTTATAATTAAACTATGTCTCCTTTTGTTAAAACTGGGCAAAGAGTAAAGTTGAGGGGTTAAAGCCCCGGGTTACATCTGAGAGTTGATGCCCAATTATGGCATGAGATTATGTTTTCAGATAGACTGAACATGATGGAACAATTCCAGAATCCTTTGTAGCACATAAAGCTTTATCCAGTTCTAATTTAAGGTTGCACGTTGAGTGTCACGACCTAAGTTCTCCCTCCGTGAACTGTCGTGACAACACCTAGTCTCTACAACTAGGTAAGCCTAACAAATTGCGAAAAAAGAAAATGAAATACGAAACTGGAAGTTACGGGTAAAAACATAATAAAAGAGTTTAAAATGCCGCTCGGCATATATAATACACATTCTCAAAACTGAATCAAAAACCCCCAAAACCCGGAATCTCATGAAATCACAAGCTAGAGAAAGCTACATAGTATTCTAACTCCAGAATGTCTAATCAAAAGTAAATACAGAAAGTCTAGAGCTAAAGGGGAGAACAGAGAGGGACTTCTAGGTCTGCGAACGCGGTAAATATACCTCGAAGTCTCTGATATCGCCCGTCTCACGGATAGAACGGCTGAGCAGAAGAACCTGGATCTGCACACGAAAAACATGTGCAGGAAAGGGCATA